ACAGAATTATGTAGAATAAATATATAGCTTTCAATTTATCATAAAGTTATTGGTATATGAAAGTAGGCTTAAATGAATAAGTCTTCTGAAATAATGAAGTGGTGGGTGGAGCCAATATGATGGGTTCACTAAATATCATGGTATCTCAGCAAATAGAAAAGGTAGGAGGTTCTTATTTTATAATTAAACTTACCATTATTGAAAATTTGAGTTTCTAATTCGTACAAAACTATAGACATTGTATTGTGGGCATTATAAAATGTAATCTGACGAAACTCTGGCAATGTACCATGTGACACACAAAAATCAATGTTTAGCCTTTTTTTAATTATTTAGTTCCAGATTAAGAAACTAACTAATTTATAGTACTAATATTTTAATTATAATCTACAATTTGATACCAAACTTATTGACATATGTTTAAATATAATGTTGAATGTAAATCTACAAACGTGATGACATGCCCTCTGACCCATACCTGTCTAAATAGGGTTAACTGAACTGCACTACAGTATCCATTTGTTTCAAGTGATACAGTTGTGTAACTTGTTGTTCCTGTGTAAAGCCAACCTCTGTTAACTGACATTTATTGAAGCCAAATATACAAATGCATGGTTTTACATTCGAGCAAACATGCTGTGTAACTTAAAATAAAAGCATAATCCATTATCTGAAATATATTTTTACATATTTAATGTAGAACTGCAAGGTATTCTTAATTTATTCAGAAGCTGTATTTATTTGTGTAATATTTTCAATTCTCGTCAATATGGTTTTTGTTTGATGTCCTAGAAGGAAAAACAGAAATCAACAAACTTCTTTTTTAAATACAGGTATGAATTCTATTCTGCTCTACGTTGGTCACTCTTTGACTGGTGATCTGTTTCCATGGTCATGGCAAGTGGGTCAGACACACTGGGAGCACTTGTTGGTGGACTTGTGGGGGGTGACACTGTGGGTGATAATTTCCATATGGCTTTACTACCAAAGATTCTTTTTAACAGTGTGATTTGTCAACTCCTCTACACCCACAACAAAAAATTTACACTTTGTAAAGCCTAAGGTTTATTTTAATATATATATGTAACATTATTGGATACCTGAAGTATTTTATATTTAAGTAAAGTTATAATAAGTTTGGTTTATCCACAGTTAAGTTCTTTTATATTTTACCATGTCACATTGGTTGTCACTTTATTTTTAGAATTTCAGAATTTGTTTATTGCTTAGAAATTTAATTTCTCAACAAAAAATGAAGAATGCTATTTCACAGCAAAGCAGAAGTTTTGGGAAATATTTATCATTACTATTCATTGGTAGAAATTTATAAAATTCCCATTTTTACTCTTTTTATTTTGAGAGATTTCATAAAACAATTATAATTTTTTTCTTCATTTAATAGTAAATTTATATTCACCTGAGGGTAAAATATAATGTCGACAAGGTGAGAAAGCACGTGGATATAAATAAAAGATCTCATTAATATTACAGTATTTTTACTTAAAAAAGATTTTTATACGTAGATAATTACTCATGTGGTTAGGGTTAATAATTTTTAATGTCATAAGAAATAAAATAAATTTTTATGAAAAAAGTGTACATGATATTTTTACAGTCAGAAGTTGTTTTAAGAGGTTCATTGAGTGCTGTTTAACCATGTAAAGTCAGTATTTTTTTATACGTATGACTGAAATATTGTATTTGATGTGATACACTAGTAATGGGTGTTTTAGTTCTTTGTGTAGATATATAAAAAAAGATGATTGCTAGTGTTTGGTTTTGTTTTTCTTGAGGAAATTTATTAGCATTTTAATTTTTAAGGGTTTTATGAATTTTTTTATAAAGAATAATAAAATCAGTATATTTTTATAGAACACTGAGAAACAATTAAAGAACTGTGTGAAAGATATCCTGTCACAGCTTTAAAATGGTGAACAGATGTTTGTTTGGCTTTACTTAGATGCTTACTTGCAATAAAATAGTGTAATTTATGTCATCAAGTAATGATTAAAATAACACCTGCTGCTTATCTCGTAATTAACGTAATAAAGTAACGATTAAAATAATACCTGCTGCTTATCACATAATTAACATAATAAAGTAACAACTAAAATAACACCCTCTGCTTATCTCATAATTAACATAATAAAGTAATGATTAAAATAACACCCTCTGCTTATCTCATAATTAACGTAATAAAGTAACAAATAAAATAACACCTGCTGCTTATCACATAATTAACGTAATAAAGTAACGATTAAAATAATACCTGCTGCTTATCTCATAATTAACGTAATAAAGTAACAAGAGATAAGCAGCAGGTGTTATTTTACACACAGTGACTTTATACTTCTATAGGAATTTAAAGAAAATCAAGCAACGATACTAATAATTTATTCTTGTGAATAACTCAGCCAACAAGCTGTTTAAAATGAAAAAGAAATAAATATGAAGCCCAATGAATGATAGATATGATACTAATTATTACTTTATTAATCATGAGATAAGCAGCAGGTGTTATTTTATTTGTTACTTTTTTACGTTAATTATGAGATAAGCAGCAGGTGTTATTTTAATCGTTACTTTATTACGTTAATTATGAGATAAGCAGCAGGTGTTATTTTATTTGTTACTTTATTACGTTAATTATTTACCTCTAAATATAGTCTTACTATTTATGGGTTAAGTTTGAAAATTGAATATTTTAAAATCTACATATTCCAAAATTTTACTGAGTTACCTTGAAACCTCAATTACACATTAAGTTTTTTCAAGGTAAAAGATTCAATTTAAACACTATGATGGTTTTTTATGCTATTTTACAAATAAACAGGTGGTACCTGTTTTAAGCAGGTTTATATTTTGTTTCCTGGTACACCTTATAGCAACTCAAATCAAACAATGAAATTCATGTCAGTAGTCCCCAACACATCGATGTAACAAAACATCTTGCAATAAAGAATGAGCAGAGAATGAAAGAACACTTCAGATAAAGGAGATTTTATTAATTAGACATTTGGAACCAAGCCTAAATTATACATCTTCATTTTTTCAGATATGATCTTAATCATTATTTTAATACATTAATTACAAGATAAGAAGCAGATATAATGTTATATATATGGTGTTTTGAAATGTATTTTATTAAAATATTACCTTTATTGTGAAGAAGAGAAAGATTCTGTGTTATCATTTTTAGACCTTAATATTTTAAATCAAGAGACAAAGTTATTGGTGTTCTATTATCATAAACCAGCTTTTTCAGATTTATATTTTAACTACAGAAGTTTCACACTTCCGTTTTCAAAAAATATAGTTTCATTGTTGGTACACAGAGCCTTTAAAATAACGAGGACAAAACTGGCATTCTAGCTGGAAATTGATAATATCAAGAACTGTTTCCTGAAAACTTTATTACCAATATCACAAGAAATACCTAGAAAATGTGAACACTACCCAAGCATCAGTGTTTCATATACCTGAAGGATGTCTTTCATTTAAATATAATAAATTTCCAAAGATGACAGTTATGTTTGAAAAGTACAAATGAATTGCCAAAATGTATTTTAAATTGGCTTAAAAGCATCTGAACACTGCTAAGTAAGTGATTAATTTAGACCCCATTGCTATGCCATCTATTTGATCACAATATTTTCTTTGAAATGGAAAAATGCTGCAGTTTAACAAAGACATCTTTAGTTAAATGATTTATGACTTCAGAATTCTTGAATATCAAGTAAGCACAAACATAACTTGCTTCATTTAATGGGATTTTAGTGTATAACGATTCTACATCAAAACTAGCACTGTATATGGGTTCAGAGGTTAGTGTAATGATTAAGATCATATTTGCTGCTTATCTTTTATATTTTTAACTGAATAAGGATTATTTGCTAGGAACCTCTTACACAAGTACAATCACATGAACAACTTGTTGCTGATTGAGTGGTAAACATTATTATTGTTTATTTCACCTAACTATGTGATTGACTGGATATTTACGTGTTTAGTATTTCACATATTGATAAAGTAACAAGGACATTTGACTTGACATTAAAATTTAATTCTTTTTAAAAGTTAGTAGAAAGGTAATCATGAACAAACTTTTGTTCTTTATTAGTGTGAGCAAGTTGAAAGGTAATTTGTCCACAAACAAGAGCTATAGTTGTTGAAATAAGATCGAACAACTAGATTGCTAAGCCTTTCTGTCAGATTTGTTACTTGTAAGGTAAAGTAAAATTTGTACTTCAGTTAGCTTGCCCATTTTAAAAAGTAACATTCTTTTGATCAAAATAATAAAAATTAGGTTGGTTTTGTAACTTATGGCCCATGTTATCTTATTAAACTAGTTCCTAATCAAACATAAGTATTGATTTAGGTTTTATTATGTTGAACAGTTTCTCTACCAGTAATACTAGTTTTTGTGACCTTCAACATGAAGTACATAAGTAGATTTTCAGGTTTCATTGATTTGTCATTTTATAAAACAGACTTAACTAAAAAACTTGTCAGCAATAGTAAACTGGTTTATTTTATTAATTGAAGTTCATTAAAGTTCTCTTTGAAAGAAAGCAAAATGTGGTCTACAGATATTCATTGTAGTTTCATTACATTTACAAGCAAGGCTGTAAGAGTTCTGTCCATTCCCTGTAGATCTTGATAAAAGA